GGCCCACTTAAATAGACATGCGGCTGGGGAGGGAGAGGAGGACCCAGCGGTGCTCTATCTTGCAGCTCTGCTGGGTTCCTCTCACGAGATCGGGAGCATTGCCATGGCAACGCCCCGATCTCGCAAGAGTGAACTCTAGCCCACATGCTAGAGTTCACTCACCACTGGACCACCAGGGAAGGTGTCGGAGTGCCGGTCCCCGGCTAAAGGTAAGAAGGGAGGGGGGGATATAATGTCTGCTTAGATTTTTTTATTTACCCCCCAACACAGAACCCCTTCTAACATTCACCCCCAGCACCCTCACACACATCACACACAGCACTCTCACACACAGCACTCTCACACACATCACACACAGCACTCTCACACACAGCACTCTCACACACAGCACTCTTACACACAGCACTCTCACACATCATACACAGTACTCTCACACACATCACACTCAGCACACTCACACACATCACACTTAGCACTCTCACACACATCACACTCAGCACTCTCACACACATCCTACACAGCACCCACACACACATCACCCACAGCACCCTCACACAAATCAATCACATACAGCACCCTCACACACAGGGCCCACAGCACCCTCACACACATCACACACAGCATCCATCACATACACACTACAATTCTCACATACACACAGAACCTCCCCAACACAGTGCACCACACACATACACAATACTTCCAAACATATGTATATATAATATATATAATATACGATGTATGTAATTCTTGATCCTGAGGGCTGAAGTGTTGATCTTTCTCTTTTTAATGTATATCTAAAAAAGTTATTTTGATTTTATACGAAGAACGAGGAGTGCAATCATCCCTATTGGATTTGTTATATATATATATATATATATATATATACACACACACACACACACACACACACACACACTACACTCTAACATACACACTCTGGATCCCCTATACACACACTAGATTCCTTTTAAGCAAACACATACTACACCCCTAAACACACACTCTCTACAAACACTACATCACCTATACACACACACACTATAGCCTGTATGCACACACTTGCTACATTCCCTATACACACATTCTCTACAGCCCCTAGCCACATATGCATTACATTACACCACAAACACAACATGACTAAAACTGACCTTATTACACAATACCACACCACAATCAGCTCACTCTACACACACGCAATACCACAAGCAGGCTCCAAACACATGCACAATGCTCTTTCCTGGCATTTTTGTCGCCTGGTATCCATTTATAGAGACACCAGAGACAAGTTGGAAGGAAACACAGTGCAAGCATGTTATTAAATTTGCTTGCACTGTGCAGAACAAATACAGGGCTTTTGTCTCATGCTAGAGCTCTTCAGCAGAGCTCTGCGCATGGTCTGCCCTGGAAGAGCATTGAGCCAACATGCTCATTTTGAAAGGGGGCGTGTTTGTTATTAGTGATGACAAAACACACCCTCTCTGCCCCGCCCCCTTCTTAGTGGGCCGCTGTGATAAAAAAATGCCCGGGCCGAATTTTTTTCCCAGTCTGGCCCTGATGACATCTAAATATGTGCTTCTTGATATTGCTTAGGTTATATTACAGTTCAGCTCTAAAATCAGAACATTACTTTCTCTGCACTAAATTGCCCATTTGATCAACTACATATAGACATTGCCATTCTGTGCATCTCAAATGCCAATGAGCTCAAAATGGCCTCCTGTCAACAAATATTAAATAAATAAATAAAAAATAATAAATAGTTTTTTTAATGTGGTGTCAGTCAAAATTAAGTTCAGTATTTTAATGAGTCATGTGGTTCATGTAAATTGTATTGAATAGTCTCCACTTAACCAGAGATCTTCATATGCTAATAAATGGGATAAAAATGAGGTGGCCCACAGTCTGTTGAAATGTAAATATCCAGATACTGTTGAGTACTGGGTAGAGAGAATAAAATGAAAAAGTAAAAGATTTCTACAGTTTAGTGGAGATGAAATCAATGAGGGTGGGAGTCATTTTTTTAGATTACATCATTCATGGTTGGAGAGGGAATATTCTTTTTAAACTGCACTGATACAATGTCATGTTGGTTGTGAGCAAAATAAATAATTGGCTTAATAGCTTTTTTTTTCTAAACACAATCTAACTTTTTCTTACACTGTTTACCTATTTAAAATGTATTCTATTTTATCCAAATTGTTCTAATATTTGCTTTAGAAAATTATTGAGTGCTAACTGTGCATCTGTCCATTTGCACTGTGCCCTATGTTTTTGTAAGGAGCATGTTTGTGTGAATGTAGGGGTGTGTTTGTATGTGGTGTTGGCATTTGAATGCAAGCATGTATTTATGAGTAGTGTTTGTTTTTGAATACAGGGTTGTGTTTATATATAATTTTTAGTGGTGTTTAACACAGAGATGTGTTTGTATGTAATGTTGACGTTTCATGCAGAAGTGTGTTTGTATGTAGTTCTGCAGTTTGAATGCATGGGTGTGCTTGTGTGTAATATTGGTGTTTTGAATGCTGAGATGTATGCACATGTACATATACACTGCCAAACACACTGTGACACACATACACACACTTTGAAAAACATGCAAATACACAGATATACACACTGACACACATGCAGATACAGACTGACACAGATACACACATTGACACATACAGACACACAGATACACAACCTGACACACTTGCGGAAAAACAGACACACAGATGTACACACTGACACACATGCAGATACAGAGATAAACACACTGGCTATATACAGATACACAGACAGAAATACACACAGATGCGCACACTGACAACATACAGATACACAGATACATTTAATAACAGACAGAAGCACACACATACAGACATGCAGATACACAACCTGACACACATGTAGATACATATACACACAGATACAAACACTGACACACATGCAGATACGCATACACACAAATATACACACTAACAAACATTAACATACACACAATGATACTCAGATACACACAGACTACATAGAGAAAAACAGTTACACTAACTAAATACAAATATACACACTAACAGACATACTGATACAGACAGACACATATACTGACAGACACACATACTGACACACACTGACACAAATATATACTGACAGTCATACTGACACACACACAGACAGACATACTGACACACTGACAGTCATACAGAAACACATGCAAACTTTACACTTGTAAAGCCACAGGCTTCCCTGTGGTCCATTGCTCTGGCAAACCTCCACATCAGTGCCCCCTCCTGACGGCCTCCTCCTCCGCCCTGCGCGGTTTCACTCTTTCTGGGAGGAAGTGACAAGCGGCTGTCACTTCCACCCATCTGGCTGCCGTTAAGTAAGTTGCACTGTAAAGGGCCACAGTGCCCTACCAGGCCCCTCCTGTGAAAATGCCCACTAAATGAAGACGCAGCACCGGTGGGTTCATGGGGAAAATAAATTATTTTTTTGCAGCCAGCGGGCCCACGGGGGAACTGCTTTGGGCTTCCCAGTAGAAACTGCGCCCGGTGCAGCTGCCCTGTTTGCCTCACATTAAAGATGGCCCAGCTCGTGTCTTTGTCAAGCAACTTAGGAAAAGTATGAAAAAAAATACAACACAAGGCACTACCCTTTACCTATTGGCTTCCCTCTCACCAGCTTCACTTATAACTAGCAAACTTCCATATTATCATGTGTAATTCCTTCCACACTAGGCAAGAATAATAGGCGGAGAGTTCTGGGATGCCTTATCCTGAGAATTGGCCCAGAGTGATAAACATGGTGACATATTGTAACAGCCCAGGGTACCATTTGATTACTCTGTTGCTGTGGCAAGTTCAAATTGGCTTATATTATATTCATGAGAAAGACAGTTGAATCAGCTGATTGCACAAATGTAATTTTTATTCACATATAGGGTCTTCGGTTATTTTACCTTATTGACCCTATTGACTAGATTACCCCATATTTGTAGAACATTATTGATGATCATACATTTCTACCTCAATAACTAATGGAGATGTATGCATCATTAAGGCTAACATTGACCTTTTTCTTTATTTTGACTCAGAAATGTCGACTCATGTTAACAAACATTTGTTTGATCAATGGAGATTGTTACTGGGTCTATTCAATACCCATTTAAACAACTGCATGTAGACTTTGCCAGTCTGTGCATCTCGATAGCCACTGGGCTCAAAATGGCCTCCTAACAACAAATAATTTTTTAATTAGATGTGTAAGTCCAAATGAAGACAACACAGTGTCATTTTAATCAAAATGGGATTTAGATCAATAAGATATTTAGAAACAATGTGTAGTAATTACTAATAAGTTTAGCATTTTAATGAGGCACATGGTTCATGTCTTAAAGGGATACTTTGTATATTCATTTGCATAGTGTGCACTTAACCAGAAATCTTCATATGCTAATAAATAGGATGTAAATGAGTTGGCCCACAGTCTGTTGAAATGTAAATATCCAGATAATGTTTAGTACTGGGGAGACAGAACAAAATGAAAAAGTAAAAGATATTCACAAGCTAGTGATTGGTGGAGAGGAGACCAATGGGGAGGTCAGGTCATTTAGGTTGCATCATGGGAATAGTTAATGACAATTAGCCAATAGCAAGTAAGGCCAATAAACAAGCCCACTAGGAAGGTGGGGCTTACTTGTGTTGTTGAAGCGCTCCCCTCACTCTCTCAAAATCACTGTCTTCAGTGCCTTTGAGGTGATACTTCTCAATCCAGATTCTTTCTAGCATCTTCTTGCTTTCTCACAGCCCATCATTCTACTCCGATTTCCAGATAAGGTTTGAATTAGACACACATACAAGCTTTCTTGAGTTTGATCTCTTGTCCAGAGACCTTCTCCAAAGATTTTACCTGCAGCTCTGTTATCAGCACAGAATTTACTCCAGCAACCTTAAAGAATTCTATGAAGAACTCTCTGAAAGTCCATTTAGCCAACAGATAGGTTCACTACAAAAACCATGGATAAGAATTACTTTTGTTCCAACCAAGGAGGGGGTGATCTACGAATACTTCCAACTCTATGTGAAATTTTTCAAGAAAATATGCAAGATGTTACTGGCATAGGCCATCCACCTTACTCACAGAATATGGTAGACTATGCCTATGAAGTAATTCAACAAGATGACGGGCAGTGTCCACCTCAAACGACAAACTTAATGAACCAGTTCCCCCACTACCATAACAGCCCTACACAGCCTAATGCTTACTACACAATGAATAGTGGACAGCCATGGATACAACCACTAAACCACTACCATAACAGCCCTACACAGCCTAATGCTTACTACACAATGGATTCTGGACAGCGATGGATACCACCACTAAACCAAAATCAAACACCTGACTACCTAAACCACGTATGTCAAGTATGTCCCCATCAAGCCGTCAGTCCTACAAGTACCATATCCAGTGCTGAAAGCTGCACCCCTGCAAGTACTATATCACAGGGGTCCACTGAAAGAGTAGTCTCAGATGTTGAGGTGAGTACTTACTAATACAAACTCATGCACTGTTTATATATGTGGTTCCTTCAACCAACTTTGGGATTTTTTTTATTTTTTTTTGCAAGTAACATTTACTTTTTAAATTTCTCATGTAATAGGAAACCTAAACGTTGGAGATAGTTTATTGTTTTATTGTCAAAGTATCAATGGTTATTGAGTGAAAATTACACTTTTTGTTTAAAGGGCATTAAAGTAGAAAGCACTCAATTAGTATATAATACATTCATATCCCAAACTATTACTGTGCATAGGGGAGTCACTGTTCTAATATATATAATTATTGCAAAAATAATTATAAATAATAAAAACCAAAAGGAAAAAAAGTTACTTGCGCACTATCCCAAATCCCTATTTACATATAAATAACTGGAGGCTTTTTAGTATCACTCCAATGGCCATTAGGTGCAAGCTCACTTGTCACATCAAGGCAAAACCTCTTAGGTGAGTCCTACACTAACAATTCACCTTGCTGTTCCCAGCTAGAAGGTAAAAAAAATCTTTAATGAGACAGAGAGGGGTATTTTAGTAAACCCCTACACACTTATTAATTCTTAATAGGGAACGCATGGGGTAGACCGCAGCATGGTAATATGTGTGTGTAATACAAAATAAAATACAAACATACAAAAATAAGCCCTGCACTCAAACTCCCACTACTTCTGGTTGGCAACAATGATTATAGTATACATCAGCCCCAAAATATACAATAAAAAACAAAGAAAAAAAAATTAATTGTGCACAATCCCAAATCCATATGTACAGTTAAGTAACTAGAGGCCGCCCAGTTTTTGTAAATTCTTATATAGTTAGATGGTAAAGCAAAATATTTTCACCTTTTTAGCACACAGCCAGATCTAATGAAAAAAGGTACATAACATGACATCTAAATATGTGCTTGTTGATATTGCCTAGGTTATATTACAGTTCAGTTCTAAAAATATAGGATGTCACTTTCTCTGCACTAAATTACCCATTTGATCAACTACATTCAGATTTTGCCATTCTGTGGATCTCAAAGTCTACTGGGCTCAAAATGGCCTCCTATCAACAAATATCAAATAAATAAATAAAAAATAATAAATAAATCAGTATCAGTCAAAATGAAGTTCAGTATTTTAATGAGTCACGTGGTTCATGTAAATTGTATTGAATAGTCTGCCCTTAACCAGACATCTTTAAATGCTAATAAACAGGATGAAAATTGGTTGGCCCACACCCTGCTGAAATGTAAATATCTGCATACTGTTGAGTACTGGGTAGAGAGAATAAAATAAAAAAAGTAAAAGATTTTTACAGGCTAGTGATTACAGGAGAGGAGATCAATGGGGGAGGGGGGCAGGGGTCATCTAGATTAAATCATGGTTGGAGAGGGAATATTATTTTTAAATTATACTGATACAATGTCACGTTGGTTGTGAGTAAAATAAATACTTGCCCTAAAAGCTTTTTTTTTCTAAACACAATCTAACTTTTTTACATTGTTTACCTATTTAAAATGTATTATATTTTATCCAAAATGTTCTAATATTTGCTTTAGAAAATGATTGAGAAAGCCTGTCAGGCTAAACGCGTTGTGAGTTTTTGATATTGTTAAATATTTAACTTTTTTATTATTTTATTTGAAAATAAATATATATATATATATATATTAATTTTAAAAAAAAATTTGTTTTGTAACTTAAAATTAGATTTTACTATTCAAATTTATATTTGTTCCTGGTTTTAATTATCATTTTGAAGTCCCCAACTGGCACAGTTGCACTTTTTCCTATATGTCCTTACATATTCCAGGTGGGGATTGTACCAACCATGCTGTTTCCAATGAGCATATGTGTGCTTCACTAAATGTAAGTACATTTCCTCCTACTTACAAATAGAACTATTCTTATATACAGAAAGCACTGTTTTCTGTTTCTGTTTTTATTATATGCCTATTGTTGAATACAGAAGAATAGTCACCCCAAGAAACATTTGTGAGTGGAGATTATGCCGCTTCATGCCTATACTAAGAGCTGAATTTGAAGCTTTACACTTGCAAACTTTACACTTTTAAAGCCACCCTCCAGTTTCCCTTGGGTCCAGTGGAAGACTGAGGTAGTTGGGAGTTAGGGTCTCAGAGGATCTGGCAATCCTCCACATCAGTGCCTCCTCCTGACGGCCTTCTCCTCACTCCCATGCTTCTTCACTCTCTCTGAGAGGAAGTTACTTGCGGCTGTGACTTCCTCCGAGTCGGCTGCCATTAAGCAGCCCTGCGTTAAAGACGGCTCTGCTCACATGCCTTTTATGTTCACTTGAGTGCTCATACTTTGAATCTACTGGTGAATGAAGCAGCCATGTCATGCTGGGATGCAGCAACATTATTTTCTGTTTTACTTAAGATATATGTTTTTTTTTGTCAGAAACCTCAGTTTAATGGAATATTTTGAAGAAGCATGTTGACAGACTAACTCTAAAACCTTTGTCTGACACTAAGGGGTCTTCAAGGATATATATTATAGTCACAAAAACAACTTAATGAAACAGTTTTGGTGTATAGATTATGTCTCTGTAATCTCACTGCTAAATTCTCTGCCATTTAGGAGTTACATTACTTTGTTTATGTAGCCCTAGTCACACATTCCTGCATGTGACTTACACGGCCTTCATAAACACTTCCTGTAAAGTTTCATCTAATGTTTACACTTTATTGCAAATTCTGTTTCATTTAACATTTCTTATATCCTGCTCTGTTAATAGCGTGCTAGACCCTGCAGGAGCCTACCGTGTGTGAGTAAAGTTCAATGTACAGAGCAGGAGATAAAACTTTTAAATTGTTATTATAATTGAAAATTAAACAATTTTGTTTTCATGCATGCTGTGTCAGCTACAGCTAGGGAAGGTGTGGTTAGGACTGCATAAACAGAAACACAAGTGATTTAACTCCTAAATGTCAGATAATTGAGCAGTGAAACTTCAGAGACATAATCTATACACCAAAACTGCTTAATTAAGATAAAATTATTTTGATACGTGCAATGGTGAGGTTCCTAGCACTTGTTACATCCGGGTATGGTAGCTGGTACTCCCCAAACCAGAGTCTTTTCTCTCTGGCCATAACTAGGACAGGAAAGGGTAGAGGGAAGCAGTGCCTTAATGTGTCCTCAAATTCACATGGTGGTGAGTCAATACAGAAAATATGAAGACAGAAAACAGAATATAGTGTAGTACATTCTAAAGGTGGTGAGGTAAAATAAGAGAAAGGCCACTTACAATTTTCTGGAGCTAATGTTCAGCTCCAGATATTTGTGCCTGGGCGGTATGATCCATGCCTGTGAATATGTCCCTCAGCTTCATTCCTTGTAGATGGTAAGTCAGGGGTCAGTTGAAGTGTTGAGTGTTCACAGCTATTTCTCTCCAAATTGCAGTGTCACAGACATTCACTAATGTATAGAAAAAAGAAGTACTGTATAATATCCCCAAAAGACAAGAAAACAATGCTAAACACCCAAAAGTGTACCTCACATACACCAATATAATATGACAAAAAGGTAAATCTATACTACACCGACAAGTGATAGTATAGATTAAAGGGGTAGCAAACAAATATCATGAAACATACAACCTGTATATAACACAATTCTTCAAAAGATCTAAAATATAAAAAAAATCACACAATAGTGAAGTATATACGGAAATAAATAGTTCAATCCCGAAGGTAGAGAACTTACAAGACCATACTGTAGATCTGCGCCTGTCTCCCTTCTGTAGGGTATGTATATTTAGGACAGCGTTTCCTTCAAGGTGAGCTTGCAGTGTAGCACGACAGCATATATTCGGAACACCCAATCCTCAAAGGAAAAAAGGTATATAGAGCAGTATTGTAACAAGAAAAGGTTTATTGATACAAAATTCACTTACATCAATTGAAGATTAAATCAGCTTGTCTCCACTAACAAGTGGTACCAAGGAGAAGGAGTCCCTCTAGTGTTGCAAATCTTGGTAGCTTTTAGCAGACTTGCAATGTCTTCTACTAGTGCACTTAAAAATAAGCACGGATTCTATTTTTAAAGCGGAATTGAATTTTGGATAAAAACTAGATTTAAAAAAAAAACACACACAAAAAAAGTTTTTACTTTTAACTTTTTAACCCCTTTAAAGAACTTCGACATTGTTTGAAAGTCAATTAAGGAGTTAAAACTTTTTTTTGTGTTTTTTTTTTTTAAATCTAGTTTTTATCCAAAATTCAATTCCGCTTTAAAAATAGAATCCGTGCTTATTTTTAAGTGCACTAGTAGAAGACATTGCAAGTCTGCTAAAAGCTACCAAGATTTGCAACACTCGAGGGACTCCTTCTCCTTGGTACCACTTGTTAGTGGAGACAAGCTGATGTTAGTGGAGACAAGAAAAATAGTGTTCCCTGTTTTGTTGGTGTAAAAGTAAAATAAAAGAAGACATTCTCACATAGGGAGAGCAAAAAACATGTTTTTTGACCAATCCTGTGTAGTGTAGGTGGTTTACTCACCACCAACGAGGTAAAAAATGTAGCTCCTCCGGATAAAATCTTCTGGGATAAAATCAGGAAGGTACAGGTAAGGTAAAAAACTTGTTTTATTTAAAACAAAGATAATAGAACGAATGACATAAAAACACTAATGCATTTTACCCAAAGTGTTTTTTTGAAAGTGAACACATTGAAAAAAAACCTTTGGGTGAAATATGTTAGTTGAAAGGCATTGGTGGGGAGTAAACCACCTACAATAAGCTTTTGAACATTGTTTAGAAAGTGAAAGTGCTTGCTGTGATGGTGCTCAAATCTCTTATCAAGAGAATTAATGCTCACATCCAAAATGCTGTAGTCAGGGCCGGCGGGGGTGGGACGCTTACCGGGATATTTCCTGGTGGACCCCCCCTGTCTTGGGCCGCAGTGCTGGACGACTCCAGGCGCCCAAAGGTGGGGGTACCCTGTCACAGGGGGTCCAGGAGGCAGGGCATCCCCTAAGTTGTCCTTCAGTATGGCAGAGCAGGCAGCTTCAAATGCCAGTGAACGGAGGAGCCAGGAAAAGGCAAGCGGCGAGGGAGGCTGTTCTTGAAGCCTCTCACTCCTCCCTCGCGTGCCCTCTGTGATGCCGGGAGCCAGAATATGACGTCATTCCGGCCCCAGCATACTAAACAGCAGGCGGGAGGAGTGAGGAGCTACCCCACACTGGACCCCGGGGAGATAGGGAGGCTGAATTTGCCTAAAAAAAATTAATTGTGTGAGTCTGTGTCAGTGAGTGTTTGACTGCCAGCGAATGAGTGTCTGTGAGTGTGTGTTGGTGTGTGTGTGTGTCTGTCATTGAGTGAGTGTATGTCTGTCAGTGAGTGTTTATGTATGAATGTATGTCTGTCAGTAAGTTTCTGTGTGTGTGTGTGTGTGTGTGTGTGTCTCTCAGTGAGTGAGTGAATGTCTGTCAGTGAATGTCTGAGTGAGTGTATGTCTGTCAGTGAGTGTGTGTGTGTGTATGTCTGTCAGTGAGTGTCTGTGTGAGTGTGTGTGTGTGTGTGTGCGTGCAGTGGCGTACACACAATCCATGAGGCCCCGGTGCGAAACTGATCCATGCCCCACCTCTATCCCTTCTCCCCCCCAACAGACACACACACACATACATACAGCCACACATACATACAGACACATACATAAGTAGAGACACACACATATAGACACATACAGACAGACTGATACATAGACACATACACACATACATACACGCAGACAGACCCGCATACATACAAAGACACATACATACAGACAGACACACACACACACAGGCAAACACACACATACACACAGGCACACACACATACATACAGACAGACATACATACATACACATACACATATACAGACACAAACACACATACACACAAGACACACCTACATACAAATACACATACATACAAACAGACAGGCACACATACAGACAGACACACAGACAGACAGACATACACACAGACACATACACATATACAGACACACAGACAGACATACACACATATTCAAAGACACATACATACATACATACAAACAGGCACATACATACAGACAGACATACACACAGACACATACATACATACAGACACACACACACAGACATATACACACATACAGACAGACACACATACACACCGACACATACACACATACAGACAGACACACACACAGACACAAATACATACAAACACAAACATATACAAAATATTCACCCTCCTGTTTCCTACCTTTTAGGTAGGAAACAGGAGGGTGGCTCAGGCTGGTTCCCACTCTGACTCCCTCTCCTTCTTCCTGTGCGGGCTCTGTGTGATTGCTGGGAGGAGTGACTAGGGCAGTCACTTCCTCCCAGTAGTGATGTCATCACATGGTGACCCGTCGAGCTGTTAAAGCACCGAGCGCTGACCGGGCCCCCTGAAAATCCATCTCCAATGGGTGGCCCTAACAGTATGAGCCACCCGATGGACCCCTTGAATGGTGGCTCTGGTAGTTTACCGGTGTGTCTGTTAGTAAGTGCATGTCGGTCAGTGAGTTTCTGTGTGTGTCAGTGAGTGAGTGTATGCGTGTCAGTGTGTGTGTATCTGTCAGTGAGTATCTGTCAGTGAGTGAGTGACATGAGAGGGCGGCAAAATGGATCTTTACCTAGGGCAGTAGAAATCCTTGCACCGGCCCTAGCTGTAGTAGCACACAACCTTCATTTTTTTTGCAGAATCATGAATTGGATCATCTGGTGCTTCATAACAAAACATCCTCTTTTTTATTTTTTATTTGTTGCACTAAAGAAGGAAACATGGGATCTATGTCTATTACTAATGACTCTTCTTTTGTCTCTTCCAGTAAATATTCGAAGCCTTTATCGGGACGATAATCCTTCAAAAAAGTAGCTGTGGATTCCTGAACATCTGTCACATCTGAAAGATACATATTTCTACTTTGAAGAAGCTTACTAAAAAAGTTAATTTTATTTAGTATATTATACCACGATACAATAAGAAACAAAAACAAGTTTAAAGATGTACCACAAGAAAGACTTGTGAAGTACTGTCTAAATTTACAGAATATTTTGACTGATAAAAACTAAGAAATTTCTGATCTTCACGATTTTTAAATGCAAATGCAATAAAGGTTACGTTTTGTCCTTCTTTGGGCCTCTTCAGAAAGGTGTACCTGATACTCTTCTATCCTTCACATATACTAATAGTAACTACTTTTTAATGGTGAAAAAATTAATTTGTGATAAATGTTTGTCTTTTGCGAAACACTTAAAGACATATGGGATTGCTACCAATCACTAATTGTTTTTTTCAAAATTTAAGGGAATGTCACAGTATTTACACAAACAACCTTTAAATGATAGATATTTACTAAAGACAATTCTGATGAATGTCAAGACTAGCCTCAAAAGTGCCACAAGCCAGTGTTTGCTAAATCAGCACTGAAACAGTCTGAATCCAACACAAAATTATAGAAACTTAGAGATTTGTCAAACACTGAATTGACACACCAAGTGGAATTTTTGAGTCTTGAATATATATATGGACACTGTGGCATATTTCAGAAAAATGCTTACTTGTAAAATACATTTAAATGCAACATTATTACATGTTATATAATATAGCTTGATGTTGAACATATAATGTCTAAAGTACACTTTAAATGTTTGCATGGAAATTGCCACAATTTTATTGAGCGCCTTGATCAAATCTCTACAAGGAAATGCCAAAAAACAGGCTCCATCCACTTTAATTATTACTAAAATCAAAATTACATTTATTGCTTAATTTAAAACATGGACATTGACTGTAAATAACAAGACACCGTCTTACATGTTACGAGCATACTGGCTCTTCAGTCGTGACTGTGACTCCTTCGTTCACCAAATCCCGTTACCCTTCCATTCCCAATAAGTAACACAACACCATGTTAAGTGGGTAAGGGCAATAGCCACAGCTTTTTTAAAACCAGCTCAACCAAATACTGTCAGCTGCTGGTTTTACCCAGCAAACAGGTACACTTTAAACTTCTTCCAGAGCCTCTTCAGCTTGTCCTTCGTGATCAACCAAATTCAGGCTGAGACTCACCAAGCCCATCAGGGCATTATTCATTTATCAAACTTGCTGACACAGGAAACCAGCAGCTGTGACAAAATAAAAAAACAGAGAAAACACAACATAAAACAACAATTCCAGAACAGAACCATTGGGGAGGGTGGGTGGGGAAAAACACTGCCAGGCTCCCTCAGCATTGTTCACCAGGAGTCTGGTAATTTTTCCAGAATTCCCTGCTTCCAACCGTAAAACCAACTGGTTGCTATGCCAAACCCTCAGGGAAGCAGTCATGCTCCCCCCTCCCTGTTTGCTCTGGGGTTGCCTTAGATATGTTTCAAATGAAGAAATAAATATATTCTTATTTTAATAATCACTGAGGGTTGGGACTGCTTTTTGGAATTTTCCATTACAGGTCTAATTTACACGGTTTATCAATGAATGAAGAAGGAGGATCCTCATACTGCAACCTTCTCGGAAACGTAGACTTACTTCTTATAAGGAAGAAAACTTTGCAGTTATATAGTATGAACCATTCAGGGTTCTTGATGTCACCCCTTTTTTCCAACTGTTTTTCAGATTTAGCTCCTAAAAGAGGGGCTTAGAAAAATAATAAAGCAAATGAGAGAATATGAGGTATTATTATTATATTATAAGTTTGCGCCTACTTTTTATACATTGGAAGTGACAAATTTGTAAATCAAAGAAAAGACTGAAAATTTAAAAAAAAAATAATTAGTGATGAATAATTCATTGGCAAAAAATGCAAAGAGTAACAGTGACATAGAAGCCACATTAGACATGAAAGCAGCGCTTTTTAGATATATCTTGATATGTCCGTAGAAAAAAGGTGGTTGGTCCTCGACAATCCAGGAAAAATATGAAAAACAATAGAGAACGAGCATTGTAGTGTGTTTTAAAATATGGGTAAATGGAAAAGGTAAACCATTACACTTTTTTTCTATGTGTCTCTAACATATAATACAAGTTTAAAAAAGCTATTTTAAGCATCTTTATAAGAACCTCAATCATTGACTGATTTTCCTTATGTGCTCCTGAGAGAAATTGATTGTCATGTTGAATGTTCTTAGTATTCTTTTCATTGACAGTTATTCTTCTTTAATTTATTAAGGGAAGGCATTTTTAATCTGCAATGTACGTCTGAATAAACACAGATAACTCACAAAATGGACATACAGTAAACATATATAACTCACAAAATGGACATATAGCAAACATATATAACTCACATAATGGACATATAGCAAATAGATCATTCATAAAATGGACATTTGGCAAAGATATCTAACTCATAAAATGGACGTATAGACGAGGAATACATATTGCTTCACTTCTCTGTATTTATGGATCTCATTTCAAAACGATGAGCAAAGTTATTTGCTAAACTCAAGATTTTAGCAACTTGTATCTAAATGGCAAAACTGAGACTAAAATAGCTGATTTAGAAAAGTTCTAAAGTCCAAATCCCGATTTCGAGAGGACTGGCAAAATGGACGATCGCTTTCTTTTGATTTGAGATTTGGAGTGTCTCTTGTGACATTAAAAAAGATCCGTGATTGGAAAAAAAGTTGGACAGACGTGAAATGTTGATTCTATTCACAGATCAAGTGGGAAGAATAGTGAGAAAAATAAAATGCAATGACATTTTTAACTCTTGTTTATTATGCCTGGTTTAGTTTTTTTGCCCTAATCAATATGAGCTGACAGATGAGAGTAACATCATTTAAGTAAGGAACTAGTTTTATAGATAGAAAACATATATTTAAGAATGTTAACATCCATTTTAATAGTCACAATAATTTTAATCACACTCATTAAAGTACTACTAATAATTTGATTGTTATCCTATTAAAATATTGAGCAATTTATTATCCTTTTAAAATATTAGGTAACTGGCATTATGTTTTTCCATGTACTTTTAAAGGTTAATTAAATTGTGCATATTGTTCACAGCAAAATAAAGTAAAAGTAAAAATAAATAGTTAAAGCTCTTTTAATAAAAGTCCATATCTCTGTTTCTCACTTCAATCTAAAACAGAGCAGACTCTTTATCACATACCATTAACACCCATATTATTTTTATAAAACTTTCAAGATAAAAAATGTTTCACAGTATTTAAGTAAACAGGGAGGATATATATTTTCCATTATTTTTCCTTAACGTGCACCATTGAACATTGTGCATACATTTCCCCATGCAGATGGTGATTGTAATCAATATCAGACCTTTTGGTAAGTAAGTTCAAATTTCCAAGAGGTGTTGGAATGTCTGTAAAACATCAGATGCCTTTCAATCTTTTTTTTTTTTCTTTTTTCTTTTTTTTTTTTTTTTATAAATGAGTTCTAATTCTCAGATGAATTGACATTTCACTTCATTTAGGGAAAGGTTGACAGGATACCGGGAAAACCATTGTGAAAAATGGTCTACACGTCTCTGGCAGCTATCTGCCTTCCGTGGAGAAAACCACCCTTAGCTCTCTGACCACAAACCAGCCAATTTTTCTTTGAGCGTCTTCCAAAAAGGAAGATCAACATATGTGAATCTAGTCCAAAGCTATTAATATTTAATAGCATATTACTGAGTAAAGTTAGATGCTAGCATTTTTTAAATATATAATTTTCCTTGAAAATTGGAACCCTTGAAGACTGGTTGAAGGCAAAAATTGTTTCCTGCTACAAAGTAGCTAAGACGTGATTGATTAGCACACTATAGAATGTGTTGCTGGAGGTTAAAGAAACATTTCCTGCTGTCTTTGCTTTCAGCAACCTGTTGCATAATGTCATTTAAGCTACCAGAGTAAAAATGAACAAATCACATCTGTTAACATGATGTTAGGTAAGATCACATACCTACACACATACATACAGTAAATAGAGTTTTAGGGTCAACAATTATTACCAAAATCCCAAAGCTTGTGCAATATTAATTTTATAACGATTGTCTAATTCGTTTTTTTTTTTAATTCTTTATTTCATAGAGACATACAGGTATACATACAAACTTTGCCATATATTTACTTTGTAAACCATGACAATAATACATGCTATTATACCAATTAGTTACATAATGAGTGAGCATAATCAAGTACACAAATCGAAAGCAAACATAAAACATGGTATACCTAAATACATATACTTCCCATTGTCCTCCAATAATTTTTATATTTTACAAACTCAAAACGGAAAATCAAAAACAGAAAAAAAGGGCGGGGTGACTGAGAAAAAGGGAGAGCAAAAGGTGCCGCCACCTACGGTCCCTAACACAGTTCACAATCAACAATCAAGCTGCTTATTAGAACTATATTACCTTCAATGGTCCCAAACTTTGGTAAAAGCAGAGAAAGAGTTTCTGACCTTGGCTATCAATTTGTTTCATAATACAATTATCCTCTATCGTCTGAATAACATCACTAAGTGGGGGTGGTTACATC